CTGTTAAGGTGGAGCCAGTCTGTTTTATTTAGAACATAGTCCTTTTTCATGGACTCTGGGACTGACCCTCTCTGTTAAACAACCAGATTTTTGCTTATAATGTACAGCAAAGTCTCAGGCAAATTTCAGGAAGTAGAAATCTTGATAATGAGACTGAAAGGCTGTTGTTCATTTACTGAAGTATCAACAGGCATCCATTCTCAGGGTCTGTCTATCAAAGGCAGGCACCTTCAGGGTTGCGTAGTATTCCATGGAAGAGTCACCCAGTCATCTTTTTTCCCTGTTTCAGTCTTCCACACTTTCCCCATCACTATCTCATATACATGTTATATTAGAGAGGGAGCAGCTTCTCTTGACACAACACAGAGGAGTTCCAAAGGAAGTAGTTGATCAATAATTGTTTCTAAACTCTGAATATTTGGGAACTCTCCATACTGTTTTCCATAGAGACTAGACCAGTTTCCATTCCCACCTACTGTGTAGGAGAGCTCCATTTTTTTTTACATCCTTGCCAATACTTGTTTTTCTTGTCTTCTTTATGTGGGCCATTCTCACAGGTGTGAGGTGGCATCACACCATGGTGTTGATTTGCATTTTCCTAATGACAAGTGACAATGAATTTGACACTGTTTTAATGTGTTGTTGTCTGGATACTTAAGGAGGTCATTTCTCCTTCTCCAGCTATCTTTGATATTCAACATTTCTGCAGATTCTGCTTGCCTTTGCAAAGTTTTATTCCTTTTTTCACCAAAACACCCTCCACACCTGTAATGTAGTTAATTGCACAGGTTCAACAAAAATTTCTCTTTTTCTACCACAATATAATTGGTATAATTATAAGACAACCTTGGCTTTATTGGAATGTCATGGTTGAGGATGGTGCACATTTAATCAAGAATGCCAAACAGTTCAGGACAAAGTCTGATGTTATTTATGGACCTAATGCCTGCAAAACCATCAAAGTGCATTTAGTACTGCATCAGGTCTAGGAACTTGGGGCAGTAGGAGCAGAGCCAGCCCTGGGGGCTCTCAAGTCTTTTCTTGGCAAGGAAAGAATTCAGTGCGGAGATCAGAGTTAAGCAGGAAAGCAATTAAGTTAATTGGCAGTTGAGGAGGACGAGGCAAGCTCTCAATATCGAGACCAAAGTCACAGAAAAACAAGAAATTTTTTGAAAGATAGGAAGAAGGAAAGGAAAACTCTCTGAGAGGGGTCCCAAGTAAGTACCTGCTGAGGGGGCGAGAAGCAGGTATAATGGGTGAGGGGTGGAGGTTCAGCGACTGGGGGTCTCAGTGTCCTTGTTGATTGGTTGGGATAGGTGGGGTCCCCCAGACAACTGAGGTCACCTGGACTTCCCAGGTTACTTGGTCTGCTTTCCAGAAAGGAGCTTTGGTCCATTGCTTTAGTATTGTGCTATTGTGTTGGTTTTCTGAGACATTTGATTTTTACTGGGGTGGAGGTATCCTGACTCCAACTGGTTGATCCTCATTCAATTTGATAAGTGGGTTTGGGGCACCTGGATTTCTGGATTTGGGGGCACCCTCCAGCTTCCAACTGATTGTGCTTTGTTCAGGGGGTCCTCTGACCCTGATAAATTATGTCTTCATTTCCTAACTTCCTCATTCAGTACCATCCTTATAGGTGGTAAGAAAGGGAATTTCCTCTTGGCAAATTTAGCAAGATCTGAGAAACTCCAGTAGAGGAAAATTTACTAAAATTAATAGATTGCTGGTGAAATATAGTTTCTCAGGCTTGCTTTCCCAGCTTTGAACCAGCAAAGAATAAAGACCTTCAACAATACAATTCTATGGTTCCAATTCAATACCCATAGCTCTAAATAGCACAACAAATCCAAGGAACCCTATCTCCATGGTTAACATTCTCATTACATTTCTGAAAATAATCACCCCAAATCTCATGAGGCTGATCACAAAGACAGAGAGGGCAAAAAAGCAGGTTACTGAATGCATTTTCAATGTGATATGAGATGCCCCATCTGGGTTATCTGATTCTATACAAATGTCACTGTTTTCTGGTTCTTGGGTTCTTGAGCTATTATATAACCCTACAAACTGTAAAACCAATGGAGAGAGAAATGTTTATTGTTTAATGAAGCAAATGAATGCTTCTGGTAGCAATGCAATTGATTTCCTCCTCTGGGGCCAGTTTTGCATCTACCAATGAATTTATTTCAGTGTTCCTTATTGCTGAGATGTATATTTATTCCTTGATTACTCTTGAACTAATTTTAAAAATATTTACTAATAAACTAAATACATTTTTGATATGATTGCCTTATGATTTAGTTTTAAGCTTGAAAAAAAATATATAAGTACCTATGTGCTGTGTTTAAAGTCTTTAACATGTTCAAGTTCTTTAGATAAAGGGTTATTTATATAGGAAACTGGCTTTATTTTCTTGAAAAAGTCATTCACCACCATTAAGTAAGTAACCCTTAATTTCCCCATTGCTGTAAAAGGCCACTTTTATGGGCCATTTATGTTGTTGTCTATTATGGTCAATTTTTTTACTTCCACATCAGGACAAATCTGTTTTAAGTGTTATAATTTTATGATGCATTTGATAACTTGATGAGTTATTTTGATGTTGTACTGACTCTACTAAAGATTGTCCTGCCAATCTAGATTAGTCTAAAATTTAAGCTGATGAAAGATAAAAAAAAATTGACCCAGTCATATTGGCCTCATCATCCCCATCCATAATATCTTAGCCAGGCAAAAAACACTGCTCTGAATCTAGAAGGAGAGTGAACAGATTCTCTGAGTTGCACTTACTAGTAAGCTTATAGTTTATCCTATGGGGAAAGGGGGTAATAATCTTCCCCCAGACTTTTACATGTAAAACAAGGCAGAAAAGCCCTATTTACAATAGCTAAGATATGGAAACAGAACAGATGACTGGATCAAGAAGATGTGATCTATATATATATATAATGGAATACTACTCAGCAATCAAAAAGACAAATCCATGTCATTCACAACAACATGGAAGGTGCTGGAAGGGATGATGCTCAGTAAAAGAAGTAAGAAGGAAAAAGAAAAATGTCAGATGGTTTTGCTTATAGGAGGGATATAGGGGAACAATACAAGGGATCAGGGAAATAAAAAGACAAAACTAGTGGGCCAACTATAAATCTGAGACATACAGCAAGGGGTGGAAAATCACAAGAAACTATAGTTACACCTCATGGGTGACTTGGTGGTGGGAATTTTTTTTTATTGTATAATAGTTTATTTTTACATATTTTTGTGCATTTTTCCATCTCAGTTGGGAAACCCTTCGGTTTCCCATCACCAAATCACCCATGTGCCATCACCATAGTCCAGTGCATTTCCTTCCCCCCACTGTTTTTGATCCCATTCCCCACTCCACCTCCACAAAATGTCTCTGGTATATAGCTGTTCATCATTATTATTATTTTCTCACCTGGTCCGTTATATTCCTGCTATGAGAGAAACCATCCGGTATTTTTCCTTTTCTTTCTGACTTATTTCACCAAGTATGATCTTTTCCAGCTCCATCCATGTTGCTGCAAAAGACATGTTTTTTTTGGGGGGGGTTGCTGAGTAATATTTCATTGTGCAAATATACCACATCCTTTTCATACAATCATCCATTTTTGGGCATTTGGGCTGTTTCCATATCTTTCCAACTGTGAATAAAGCAGCAAAAAACATGGGGGTGTAGGTATCTTTTTGACTCAGTGTTTTTGTGTCTTTTGGGTAGATACTTAGGAGTGGGATTGCTGGGTCCTATGGAAGCTCCATGTTTAGCAGTTTGAGGAACCTCCAAACAGTTTTCCATAGTGGTTATACTAGTTTGCATTCCCACCAGCAGAGCAGGAGAGTTCCTTTTTCTGGTGGTGGGAATTTTATGGAGACTACACCTGGAAAGAAATCAAACATACAAAATTGAACAATGATGTAAAATATGTATCTTCAAATAAAATAGTAAAACAGGGCAGAAAAAAATCAATCTGAGCAGACACAGAAGAGCGACAGTGGAAGAATCTAGAAATATCAAATCACCACGGGACTGGACTTTTTTGATTGAGGATGAAACAGGCTCATTCTTAAAAGCGGAACTTTACATATATGAGTGACCCTCTCGAGTGAGCTGTCACCCAGTAGCTCAGGCAGAATCAAGGTGAGCCATGCACCTGGCCACCCTGTGAATGCACAGGTGGTTTATGCAGCACCCCCTGTCCACAACAGGATTTGAATATCTGGCCATTTTGCTGGTCAAAGCTTTGCTAAGACTTTGGGGAATAGGCAGGATGGACAAAGGTCAGGCTGCAGGTGCCTCCCCCCAAATCACCTCTGGAGACATAGACATGATAGCACTTCATATTTTGTGGGTGACTACAATGTGGCGTCCTTCCTATAACATAGAAACTGCTATTCGTAAGGATGAACCTGAGTTCAGAGAGAGAATAGTTATGTTCAGCTTAGTTTGATTAAAAGGATTGCAGAAAGAGCTAGCATGTCCAGCCCAGGTTGATTTATTTTCTTTCTCTTTTTTAAACATTTATATGTATTTTAAAAATCTTGTGTAGAAGAATTGCAGAACAGAGGTGTGGGTGGTGAGTGAATTCACCAGAGACAGTGGAGAACAGAATAGGTGTATTTACCAAAATTCACTACTGAGGAGAGCAGTGGGCAAGACAGGTGAGGTCTGCTGCACCATGTGGATCAGCTCCCTGGCTGGAATCGAACTCAGGCCTTGGAAGTGACAGCGCTGCAATGCGACTCCTAGGACACCGGAGAGGCACCCAGACAAGGTCTACTTCTTTCTGAAGTAGTTTTTGAAGTTTGGGTATTTAAACACAGACTTCCATAACCATAACATGTTCTAGAACATTGAGAAATCGTACAAATCTGTCTCCAACCATCCTGAAGCATGTGTACTATGCTCCAAAGTCCCCCATTTTTACAAAAAAAAAAAAAAACCACAAGATTCATAAACATTTTTAGTTCATATTTTTAATGTTTAAAAACTATGTTAACAGAGCAGTAATAGAACAGAAATTCTTACATTTATTTTACACCACATGGTGGGAAAAAAACTGATTAACTGTGAATAGCAAAGTTTGTGACTTATTTAAATCACCCATCTGAAAGTCTTTTACAAGGTTTTTACATGAATAAAACAGTGGTGAGCTACATATACTGGACTCAGATGAAGTCTAAAATACATGGCCTCTAGAGAGTGAATTCATACCAACGATCAAGATTCAAGTGTTGTGGGAAAAATTGCTCCAGACAGTCTTGTTGGCGTCAACACTGAAAGTAAAAGGCAAACATGCAAGACTTTCAAAAGCTTAATAATATACTTGGTCTTTTTCCTTCAAATTTGTGCTTTTAGTGAATGTTCAAGTTCCCTCACTTCACCCTTTCAAAGACCCCAAAATTTGGGAAATGCAGCAATTCAATTCTGAAAAACAATTCTCCTTCCCAACCTCTGTTTTCATAAACACTATATAGTGGTGTCAGTGTTAACGGTAAGAATGCATGATGATGAAGAAACCGCTTGTCATTTTGGGTACACCTATTTCTATATGACAATAATTTTGGGTCTAAATATTCCTTATTTGTCAAAGGACTATTTTTAAATAATTGATCTTAACAACAGTCTAAGAAATCAACACAACTATTTCTCAGACATTTAGCTTTCTAAACAATAACGTAAGATTTTTAGGCTCCCCGTTCATATGGAGAGAGAACTAGGTTACCTGGGAGAGAATGCAAACTTTTCTAATTCTGGAACAAAACCACGAATACCTATGAAAACATTTATTCTTGATAGGCAGATATTAGAGATTTCTATTTCAGTGTGAATTAACAACTGCAAAAATATACAGCCTCCTATTTATTTACAGTGTATTTACATACAAGTGAAGTATTTCCTACAATAAGCCTCAACTGCATAGATTCTTCCTTTTAAAAACACAGAATCAAGCCCATGTACAGATGGCCCAGTTTCATAACTCCTCCTCTGAGAAAGCTCTAAAGGAGAATGCTAGAGCCGTGTAGATTTCACGGCCTTCAACTTCTCTCTTTGGAATTAGTGATATTTTTCAGTTGTTAGCTACTCCAACCCAAGTGGTCCCAGAAAGCCATTATCTTTATAAATAATTCACTGTGTATATTTCAGAGGAAGTATGTTCTATTGCTGAAGGGTTCCCAGATCTTCCATCCCTAAGGACACAGTTTATTAGCATCACTATAGAGTCTGTATTTTCTTTATTTTGAAAGTGGCTAGGTCACCGTGAACTGGAAATGGAGAAATTATATTCTTAGAGCTCATGTCTTTTCTCAGCCATCTACACTGATAAACAGATGGAGACTAATGGCTTTGGTGCTAAGGCATAAAGTCAAATATCTGATTTGATTTTCAATCAAGTCACCCATCTGAATGGGCGATTCTCCCACCAACCTCCTCCTCAACCCAGTGTGATATGGACCCCGGTTTTCTGATCTGCTGAAGCTGATGGGACCCTTCTGTCTCCAGAGCACCCCGCAGCCCCTCACCCCCTGAGGCCTTTCAATAGACAATTTACTTTAGAAGGACGGGGTCTGTCACCTTAAACACCCAGCTTCAAAAAATGTCACCTTATTGCTCTTCAGTTCCAGATGACAAGCAGCCTCTTTCATGATCAAGTTCACCAACCCTGTCCTCCCCTCCCTCACTCCTGGGCCCTTTTCCTACCTTGTAAGTCTTAAAAATCAACTCAGAAGTAGTACGGATGAGGAGAATAGGGGAGACTAACTGGCTTGGAGAGGATCTCACACTTGAGGTACTTCAAGAGGGCCTCTAAAATATCAGCCAAATCTCCAACCTCAATAGCTTCAGGTTTTGCTGGGGCCGGCCTGAGGATTTACAGTCCCACTAGCTCTCACATGATATTGACTTTACCAAGCCAGGGGCCAGACTTCTAGAAGCACGGGCTCAGCAGCTCTGGTCCATTGCCAAAAAGAAGGCAGTTCTGGAGTGACTGTCTGAGGCGTCCCTCTGAAACCCTAAGGAAACTTCCCAGTCTTTTGTCCACCCTAAGCCCTACAAGCAGCACCCATGAACACCTTTCTCCATGGGACCTACAAATATAGCAAAGGAAGGTAGGCAGAGAGCTGTTTTTACACCCCTATCTGATTGCTGAGCTGCTAAATCTGGCTTATTAGCACTACCCCCAAAAGTGCTATGTGCTGGCTTCTGGGAGAAGCGATGCAACCATGTTCCTTGCTGTAGCAGGCAGAGTAGGAGGTGAACTATGGGAGCAAAAGACCCTACAAGTAGAAGCAGGCAGGCCAAGCCTGAGGCCTCCAGAAATAGCAGGACTTCTAGCTGAGGACATCCCCAGGGCTGTCCCCTCAAGAGGCCTCCCCCTCCTTCTGATGCTCTGGAGGCCATGGACTTACTTTCCCTTACCTGTGCTGGTGCCCTTGCTGCAGGTAAGTGAGTGGGGTGGCCCCCTGCCCCCAGCCTCCAGCAGGTGCTATGGGGCTCAGGTCGACAGCCCAGAGTCCATGGGCTGTAGAAACGAGATATATTTGACAATTCTGAATTACCTCCAGAAACAATATTATTTTTAGTGTTGAGGTTCTTTAGCATTCTGGTTGTATTAATGTACATCAGTCAAACCATGGGCTTAATAATCACCTCAGCTGGTCTGTGGGCCTCACACCAAGTATAACTTGCTGTCTAGAAGGTTACATTCTAGGTTGTAACCAACAAATTTATAGAGTTTTGAAATGTCATCTGTTTATAAATTAGGGACACCTCTGCTTAAAAAGACTAGATTTCTGTACATATTCTCCTTTCCCCACTTCTAATACGTAACACTAAGTAAATTAGGGTTTTATAGTATTCTGTGTTACAATAGTTAGAGAACAGTTCTAAATCCAAAATATTAAACAGGCACTGTTCACTAGAACTCAGATCCCAGCTACCAAAAGAAAACATGCTACTCCCATGGCTAAGGTCTAATAGTCTTGAGTCTACTAATTTAGCAGAAAAACTTCTATAGCACTTGACTGTGTTGTTTAAATTCTACCTAGCATCTGTGATACATGTACTTTTGGCTACCAGTTCACTATTCTGAACAAGAAGACTAAGCGTGGTACACTTTACACCTAATCCCACACAAAGGATGTAATGAATTAATCAGTGATATTGACAAATCACAGCAAGGTCTATTATAGTCATTCAGTCAACAATAACTTAAACACACAAGGAAGCTTTTAAAAATGTGGTATCACAGATTTCAACAATGTGCCTTCTCTAGTAAATATGTTTTAAATAATATTAAAAATTTCTTGTTCTGATACATACAATCCAGAAATCCAATAATATCACTACACATTCCAAGAGTTATTGGTCATTTTCTAAATTGACTCTGTGAGAGTGGAGTGGATTGCTATAAATGAATGAGGGTAACAGAAGATGGTTTTTTTTTAAATGGAAGTCCATCCACTACCAGGCTATTTTGTTATGAGGTGCTCTAGGAGAGGCTTCCAGTGACCAACCAACTGTTCTGGCTCAGTTTTTCTTCCTGCTCATCTAATATGGCAGCCCCTCTGAAAACAACAGAGGTGGCTAGATTTTCCTGCCTAGGTATTCACACCAAAACACCACCATTCTGAGCTAAGATGGATGTAGTTCTGGAATACTCCATTAAGAGCTATGATGACCCGACCAAGAAATGCAGGAAAGAGCCTTTCACTATCCCCCAAGAGGGTCACAAAGAGGTGCTCTGATGTTTGCCTTTTCTGTTGGATGGTTAGTCTCTACAGGGAAAGACACAGTTCTGGGTGACTTCCAGGGAACAAGAAGGCCTTTGGGGATTAACGTGGAGGAGGAACAGAGCACAAAACCTGCCAAGATCCTGAGGTTACATTCTACTTATCACTGTATAAGAAATCTGTGCTCAACGAACTTCTATGTTTGAATTCAAGCAGGTAAAACACAAGTCCTATTTCAAGAGCCAGATCCACAGAGCACACATGTTCTTACCATGTCCATGGAAAAGGCAGTCTAGCTGATGAGCCAGCTTGGGGCATGTGGTGTCTCTGCTCTCTCCTCCTCTCCAAGCTACCTTTGCTCACACCCTCTTTGTTTTCAGTCTCCCTACTGAGAGGGGCTGGGTCAGCGTTTGAGGGTCTTGTGGGTCACATGTACAGATAGCTCCTTGGTTAGGGGACAGATGAGAGCACAGCACCAACACTGAAGGCCCCCCCAGGGGGAAGGAAGGTGTGATTTCTCCCAGGTTCCTTTCAAAGACTATATCTGAGGGCTCTTTGTCACTTTTCCTCCCAGAACTCTGGATGGATTGTTAATGGACAAGAAATAGGAATGAGGCTTATTTAAGGTACAAAAATCTTATATTTGTCATAACCTAAATTTATAGATATAAAACAAGTCCTTTAAAGACCCCCCTAAATTACCCAATATAAAACAGGAATTACATTTCTTGGATCATCCTTGGTTACATATACATTGTCCTCTGTGCAAAAAAAAACAGGCAGACATGAGTCAAAGCTATTGCGATAATAAGAAAATGTTTTCTCCTGCGACAACATCGGCGTGGGGTGAAAGGCTGTCACATCAGAGGAATATTTTCTTAGGCATTTGGACATTCTTTTTGCACTACTCCTGCTTCTCAATTTACTAACAAAGGTGCCAAGGGTCAGCCCCAGTGACGTTGCCGATGATGAAACTTTGACATCAATTGCCAAGAGGGAACAAAACTTTATTTGCTAGATCACCCACGTGGCTTAATATGTTACCAAGGTATGATCAGCCCCACCCCCAGCTGAGCACACTCACCAGGGCCTGTCTCTGTGTGGAGAGGGATGTAGCAGTCTCGGGCCACTGGGGCCCGCTGCAGGTGACCAGGGGACCTCAAATATTGGGCACACTCTGATCCACAATGGTGCATGCCCTGAGACCCTCGCATGATCACCCGTGTGCTAGGTTAACCAAAATAGGCGAATTATTTACGAAACCATTTTTTTTCCTGTAAAGCAAAATAAATATATACAAGATTCTTTTCTATAAAGGTACAGATACTGTGCGCTGAACATCAGTCAGAAAATGATTTCAGAACCCAATGTCTAATAAATCAACATGATGGATGATCATGTTTGCAAAGTTCTGAGACCGTGAGGCGACAAAAAACAGTTGGACGAGTGAGCTGTAACAGATGGTGAGAAGTGCTGAGAAATAGGGTCACACGAACTTTGAAAATGAAAATCCACCATCTTACACTGATCCGAGAGCTTGAAGGACACGAACCATTATAGAAACAGGTCTCTGTTTTGCTACCCAAGTAGTATTCCCTTTGAGCCTTGTAAGTTTCTGTTTGCTTCTGTAAACTTGCAAAGGAACTGATGAGGGCGGGGCGCTGATGGGTGGTGGTCGGGCAGAGCAGCAGGTGGGGCTGGGAACTCCTCTCCCTCCTCTCAGTGGCCTTCGGAGGTGCTGGAGGAGCAGGCCCAGTCGTAGATCACCAAAGGGATGCTGACCAGAGAGAACAACACCCCCAGACCCAGGAAGAGGGCGGCCTGGAAGAACAGAGAGGCAGACTTCCGGTGAGATAAACCTTTCCCACCTGCACCAGGGAAAGAAACCAAGCTCCACCCTCTGGAAGAACAG